CCTTCCTTTTTATAATAGACGACATCCAGCATGGTATGGCGGTCCTTGATTACATTTATGCAACATGTAGCCTTTTAAGCCTTTCCCTGACGCATCTATCTCTGGAGCATCTTTTCAAGTTACCAACTCGCAAAGGATTGAAGAACATCATGATATCTCTGTCAAACGAAGGGAACGAGTACGTTGCAAAAATAAAAGTCACGTTGCAAAGTTGAGCGAAGCTGAGTCTCGAGATACGGATGAGCATGAATTAATTGATGAGGATACGATTCTCTCCCTAAGAAGAGAAAGTAAGCAATTGTCTTAGTTTCGAACCACACCAACTATTGCTCACCAGATTTCTTTTTTGATAAGTGTTTTTTGCTAGTTCTCGGAAGCAGTATACTTGGCACCAGTCCGTGCAGTTCGGGGGTGAGCATCGAATCGCCACCTGTTTGGAGTCCTCGTGGAAGCCCTCCAGCTGCGGGTCAACTCTTTAAGTTGTCGGAGCAAACAGACAACTCATCAGTACCACTCTCTTCTAGTGATTCCCCAGCAATTGGAGGGCGGAAAGTTTTTCTTCCAGGTATATTCAGATCAGAGTGCTCAATATTTTTTGGCCGAAACTATATCGTTGCTTGCAGATTCCGAAATCGATACATGCGACCAATGCGAGGCAGATGTTCATCTTACCAAATCTGAACCTTCAGAGGAATCCTTAGAAGGAGCAGAATCGGTCACAACAGCTTATGAGTACCTTTTGCTAAAGAGCTCAGCAAATCCGACAACATCTGAGGTATCCTCTCTCTCAACACATCTCTTTATAGGTGCTCTTTTTTCATTTTAATTAGTTTCTTATGAGCTCTCTCAATTCCAAATCTTTTTGCAATAGTTTTGAGGAGTGAAGAGAAATAGTAAACAAACATTGTTGTGTTGTTATTGGGTTTTTGCCGCTGAAAGCCTTAAAAATCCTTGGGAATAAGAGGGATTCACGATGTACCTCCGTTATTCGGAAAAACTATTGTTGTTCTGCTGAGTTCATTTATCGGCCGTAAGCTCTCTTTTTTCTAGCGAGAGCAAGTTTTTTGAGTGTATTTTGTAAGATTTCTTTTTTTAGTTAAAATTTTCTGAAACAGATTTGAAGCAGTTCTATAGTGGGTTCGGTTACGGCATGTGTTTTGTAAATCTCATTAACATCACTCAAAAATTCTTTAAACTTCTTATGCGAGTTTATTAACTTATTCACTATCTGCATTGCCTTGTTGCAAAATGTCGAGCGGTTGAGCAATCAAAAGCATCAAAAACAGCAATGAACAGTAAAGGAATAACACACCAATATATCGAGTTTTGCTACCTTTTCCATAAGCCATTTAATATCATCATCATAACGGGTCATTTGGAGATTTCTGCAGTTTCGAACAATGTTTTTTCTGGTTGATTCACCCGCTCAATCTCAGAATCTAATGCTTCGTACTAGGAGCTGTGCGCAAATAATGGGAGCTACCATACTTTTTTTT